GTCGGGTGCCGGTGTGGATGCTGGAACCCGCGTAAACCGGAAAACAGACACTGCACGGAAAAAAATAAGTAAGCTGTGATAGCTGTCAGCGTGACAAGCAATGCGTTAGCTGCGAGAGCTAATCTCTGTCTGTACAGATTTGTTTACCATAGCAGATAATCACGTCAGATGTAAAACCTATCGCGAGATAAAATTTTTCAAGGATGTTAAAAGTTAAATTTTTGCACAGTTTTTCCATTTACGTTGTCTAGGGTGCGTCCTACCTCACTTTTACTGCCCTTAACAAGGAATTAAGCCGTCCCGAGCGGGTATTGAACCCTTGCCCTTTGGGCGCTGCGCGCCAACTCGGACGCTCTGAGCCACTGCGCACGTTGAGACTGGGATGGAAAGCAAGCATCAAATGGGAACTCAGAAAAACAATCTTGATGTTTAGGCTTCAGCCCTAATAGCTAGTACAATTCGCTTGACCAGACTAGACGTAAGCTGCCATGAGCAAATTCTGATAAGCCACGGTAGCTGTCGAGGATTAGTTAGAGCTAATCTATAGTTGGCCCACCCCATACATATTTTGTTGTGGCTGTTAGCTGCTGAACACAACATGCCTCAGCCAACACAGATAAGAAAATTTAGTCACACGAGCTTAGGGGAATTTAGCTACACTAAACAAACTATCTCGTTTCTAACAAACTAAGAATTAAGCAGATTCAACAAATACATATGTTGTACAGTCATTGTCCCTAAATTCGGACGGTTTTTGAGGAAAAACGCCTGTGACATCTAGAATTTTTGAAATATGAAAAATCGCTGGGGATTCTAGAATCCTCACGTCGAGACGCACCTACCACTCTCCGAAAATATTTTTTCGCGCTAACGGTAGAGAAGTGAGGCCTGTTTGAATCGTGTCCGTATTTAGGAACCAATGCGTTCTAAATTTCGGACAGCTTTGAAAAATTATGAAAAGTGAAATATTTTGGGGGGGTATAGAAACTTCATGATAAAATTTGACCTTACCCTACCGTCCAAATTTTCTTATCTGGTATAGTTTCGTCGCCAGAACTGCTTAAAGATCGCTTTTAACGTGCCCTAAATTCGGACAGTAGTCACTTTTGCATGTAAAAGCCTATGTCCGAATTTAGGGCGCCTTGCAAAAACGCTTCCCAAAACTAAACTATGCGACGAAAAATCAAAACCTTGGTGTCGTATTGTAGATAAAAGTACCAAGTTTCACATATGTTGTGGTCAGAATAACCCGGACTTACACTGTTCGGAGCCCCAAATTCTTGCAAGACGCCTGTTTTGGGGGGCTAAAAATACAAATTTCGGGAATTTCTGGAGGAAGCAATATCACTCTCACATTAATTTTTTTGGCAGAAAT